CTCCACAGCCTTGCTCCTTCCTACCTTTGTGATCTCCTAACTCTCTGCCAATCTGTCCACTCAGCTGGCTCCGGCCAGCTTCATGTCCCCCACCTTGCCCACCCCACCATTGGCTGGCGGGCCTTCAGCCACTCTGCCCCCACCCTCTGGAACTCCATCTCACAGTCCCTCCATTTTTCCCCCTCCCTTGCCTATTTCAAGACCCATCTCAAGACCCTCCTCTTCGACCGTGCCTTCCGTCACCCTCCTACCCCTACCACCCCGCCCTCTGTCCCTCCTGATCCCAACCACCAGATTGGGTGTGGGTCCCTTGGGAAAAGCGCTATACAAATGTAATTTGTTGTTGTTACAGAAAAAATGATTTCAAAATTAAGACTGCATTTAAGAATCTACCAAATACTGGATACTCTTTTACTACATAAGTACTACATCAATGGAATAAATCTGGACCTCAGTGGAAATTCTTCCCTCTAAAGGCTTATCAGATTTCAAATAGCAATCAATGAACAAGTGGAAATTAAACCAGCTATTGACAGAATGATATTCCCCGGGGAACATATATATATAGTTTCAGTTCCATCTAGGGATCATCCTCCGTCTGCTGAATGGTACAGAAGCAGGATGCAGTATCTGAGCACTTGAAAACCACAGAAAACATGATAAAATTAATATTATTTTCTTTTCCCATCCACCCACCGTTCTAATCCTATCCTTATTTTTGCTTCACATAATATGAAAACAGGGAAACAATGGAGCTCCCATATTGTGAATTTGTGATGATTACATGAGGAATGGGAGTTGTGAAATACAATTTCCAGTCAATGTGATATGGGAATTTCATTACAGTTTTGTTTGCTTTGGGTTACTGACGGCATTAAATCTGTACACAAACTGCTTAGTCCTCTTTTTACTCTGTAGGTAACCGCAACCATAATTTTCAAATGCCCTCCAATTGTATTCATACTGGAGATTAAACTAAAGTAACAGTAAACAGCCCATCAATCCAGCTGAGTGGAACTGGATTGTGAGATAGCATTTTCTTAGTTATGTTCTCCCTTTCCCCAATAACTACCATACTTAAAAGCAAAATAGATCCCAGAAGACCTGGCTTATTGGCAGGAATTGGAGGGGCAGACGGGTTACTGGAGACAGGATTATTCTTGTTAACTCTGTAAAACAAAGCCCTAATGGGAAGGGGGGGACTTGCCATTGAGACCCGATCTGCTGGTCTCAATGGCAACCCAGTTGGTTTTCACTGGTTAAATTCTACCAGTACCCCAACACACAATCTGGCCCTTGGTCCTCAAGCCTTGGTTCTTGTTAACCTGCAATTTAATTTTAAATGGACTTCACTCTGCATATATCTTAAATTGGGTTGAACTGCAAACTCAGAATCCAATAAGATTTTAAAATTACACTACACTAGTTACAAAACTTGTGGAAGTCCAGTTATTTAGATTTCCCTCCACAAGCTGCAGATCATCTAGAACTCTGCAGCTCGTGTCCTTTCCCGAACCAGGCTCCGTGACCCTATCACCGCCACCCTCACCCGGCTCCACTCGCTCCCCATCCTCCAGAGGATAGAGTTCAAAACCTTCATCCTCGCCTTCAAAGCCCTGCTCCTTCCTACATCTGTAACCTGCTAACGCCATAACAACCTGTCCGCTCCCTCCGTTCAGCAGGCTCCGGCCTTCTCCACTTCCCCTGCCCAGCACACCCATTATTGGCGGTCAGGCCATCAGCCTCTCTGCCCTCAACCTATGGAAGCCAGACCCCTTCTCTTCCTCCCTCCACTGCCTTTTTCAAAGCACCTCTCAAGACCCTCCTCTTCGAAAGCGCCTTCGGCCACTCTCCTACTCCTACCCTCCCTGTCCTCCACCCCTCCTGATCCCCTACTCGGGTTCAAATCCCTGTCCACCGCCTTGGGACGTCATCCCGACATGAAAGATGCTATGCAAATGTAATTTTTTGTTGCTATTTAGGAGAAAATAACAAGTGTAATCCTTCTCCAGTGAAAATTGAATTCTCTCATGAGAGCCAGTCCCAATTAGATATGTGATATTTTCTTCTCATCTTCCCAACCAAGGAAAAGTTAAATAAAGAATAGTGTCATCTCAGGAATAATAACATTTGTTTAAAAACCTGACAAAATGTCAATACATCTTGTGTGAACTTGATACATTAGGGAGAAGAGATACATCAAGTGCCATAGAATATAAATCATCTTCAGAATAATGTGCAATCTTTCTTAGGACTTGTTTTTAGAATTGTTGACTGCCAAAAAGAAAAAAGGAAAACCTTTTGCAATGGGTTTGGAATACAGTACTGTTAAATCTTCATAAAAGCTTGTGGGTTTGGTTATAATTTTCTAATGGTGCATTTTTCCCCTACTTAGACTGTTGTCCAATACACAATACAATGCACAGCAGAGCAATATTTATTTATCTGTAAGTGATGTTGAAGAGTTGTTGTCCAATTCTGTATCAATGTAATTCATTGTTTTTCCTTTCCCACACATAAGCAGATTTTAAAAAAAAGAATTCCCCTGGATGTTTTATTTTTGCTTTAATTCTTTATAAAATGGTTACAAAAACAGTACTCATTAGTCATTTCCCACAGCAACTAACACAACTATTTTGAAAACACTCATAAAAAAGCTAAAGTGCAGTTTTAAATTACTGTGCAACATAAGATGTGCACCCTGACAGAAATGAGGAGATAAAACAGACAGATGGTCTTTCTCACATTTTCTCACAATTGTTTTTATGGACTAAGGATGCATTTCGCTTTTCCTAGTTTTTTACTTCAGGAGGATGTCTCAAGGTGCCTAACAGAATTTATGGTAAAATGTAACGACAGTGTACTTTGAAGGTGAACAATTTGCGCACAACAATGTCCAACAAACAGCCATGAAGTGAATGTTCAACGTTTCTGGGGAATTATTGGCAAGAACACCAGGAGAAACTCCCTTTTCTATTCAAATTCTTCTCAAGTGGATGCTACAGTGCTCCAATTTAAAAAAATACTGACCCGTTAGCAATAAAAATAACAAAAAAATAGCGGAATTCAGGACTTAAAGCAGGGTTTTTTACACATCAGCTGAAAGAATGCATGCTCTGAAGAATTATAAATACAATTAGTGGTGTAAAAAGAAGTCCACATTTTCAGCTTTGAGACCTTGTTAAGCATGTGCCAGCAAAATCTCAAAGATATGCTTGCAATATCAGTCAGCAAGGGATGTGCAATTACATCTGGAGAAGGGTGGGACTAGCTCTGGGTAAAACAAATGGAAACAAATCCCAACAAATATGATAATAATCCTTGCATTGATAAAACATTTTATGTTGTCAAGACACCTCAAAGAGCTTCACAGGATTTTGCTGCAAAGTGTAGGCAAGCTGCCTTGGCTTTTTGAATAATGCTATGGAATGTTTAACGTCCACCTGAACAAGCGGACAACGACCTCGGTTTAACATCGCTGACAATGCAGCATAACCCCAGCACTACACTGGAGAGTCAGCCTAATCCATGAGCTCAAACGCCCAATGTGGGGCTTGAATCCATAACCTTCTGCCTTCAAGGTAAAATAGAACATGTCAGCATTCTCCAGAAAGCTGACAGTCCAAGTTCGGTAACTTTCAAAGAGTTACTTTCGGAAAATGTACTTGGGAGTAGGTATTGAAGCTAACATGGCAGAAGGAGAGAGATTTTAGGTGTTAGAAAAAAATCCATCATTCCGTCAAATATGTTTGAGGCAAGCTCTTTAGTAATTTATGTTCCCTCCGAAGAAACATGATTGTTATTGTAGGTGAGAACGTTTTCAATGTCAAGCACTTATTACGTACACTAGATCAGATCTGCACACAGATTTTGGTGGCCTCCAGACCTGAGTTGTTGGTATTTGGTACAAATCAATCCTTTGCTGCTTGGCTGCCTTTTTTTACTACACTAACACAGCCTCGATAATAGGCTTCCCTTTTGCAGTATGCTTTCACAGACACTTCCTTATTCACTTGCCTCAAACATATTGTGTATCAGCCTGGCTCATTTGGTAGCCCTCTCACCATTGAATCAGAAAGTGCGAGTTCAAGCCCCAAGTTGAAATTTGGAACTCATATACTCTAAGCTGAAGTACTGGGGGTGTGCTGCATTGTCGGAAATGCCGCCCTTCTGATAAGACGTTAAATCGAGAACCCATTTCATTTGCCCATTCAGGTGGAAGTTAAAGTATTATTGAAAAAAAATTCTTTCAGTATTTTGGACAATAATCACACAAACAGAAATTGACAATTGACTTCATGGCTGTTTGTGGGATATTGCTATGTGCAAATTGGCGCTGAGACTACTTGCACGAGACACTATATAAATGCAAGTTGTTACTGTTGTTGAAGGACACCACATAGAAAGTGGATAACTGTTTTTTGATCAGCTGAGTGCTTAACACATACAGAAACCATGCTTAAGAGTCTACAAACCAAACACAGTTCCACGCATCTCACCCCCACATGGAAATTCCTGCGTACTGGAATGTGCACTCTCTATAGATAAATAAAGTATTTTTATTTTTTTAAAAATATTTTAAAGTATTTTAAACCATAAAATAGGAATCCTAACATTTGATATAACACCTTGTCATGTTGAAACAATTTTAAGCACTTCATAAAGTGTTCTGTAAAGTGTAGTGACTTTGTATTTGAATAAATTTGTATTGAGAATGTAACAGACAATTTGCATACAGCAATTTCCCCCAAAAAGCCAAAAAACAAATGACCAATTTGTTATGGGGGAGAGGGGGTGGGGGTGGGGGCTGGGTGATTGGCCAGGCAGACAGGACCTGAAGGACCGACTACAGTATAGCGCTCACCTAACACTGCATTGGAGCATCAAACTGAGTTTCCTCCAGTCTTCATATCCATTAATTGAAAACAAAAAAAGGTTGCAAAATGATATTGAGGGAAAAAATATTTTGAGGCTTTATTCAAGATACTTTATTCTTTTACCTGTGGTGGCCTGAGTGTTTCACTCCCTTTATGTGACCAATCCCTTTACATCCTGGAGTCGGGCATCCTCCCTGTTCTGAAGCATCCACCAGCTCCAATGGACCTATTGGCACCAAAGTTAAATATTAGAGCTGAAATGCTGAAACAGATTTAATTGAGTAACTTATGCAACTAACAAAATAATAATCCTTGCCTACCACATTGTCGAGATGCCTCAAAGTGCTTCGCAGGATATATAGTTATTTGATTTTAAATCAAGACCAACTAAGTACTTATTGGGTTCAGTTATCAAATAATAATAATCCTTGCAATTGGTATAGCATGTAATGTGACTGTGTATATTTTGTGGGCAACAGATGATATGGATATGAGCGATATTAAGTAAGGTTAGCTATATAAGGTTTGCCCTCCTTCAACATAAAGTGTAATTTATGATGCTTGTATGATTCAATATACAGTTATCTATAACAGGAGCAAAATTGGAACAGCATCCCTTTGAATTTGTTTCTATTCTGTTGGGAGCAAAGCAGTTCCATTCGCACCAGCATAGCACAGTTATGTGGAGCAAGAAGACTGATTTACATTTCCTGTTCCACATCCAAAGCATCTTGCCTACAAAACATAAACATTTGAATTCAGTATCTATGCACTTTAGTTCATGAGCAGTATTGGGAATTTCTATGATTTTTTATCGAGACCAACAAGGAACTTTCCAGTACGTATGGGTTCAGTTATCCAATAATAATAATCCTTGCATTTGTTATGGCATCTTATCATTGAAACATCTTAACATGGTTCACAAGATTTACTGTAAACTGTACTGATTGTGTATTTGTAGGCAAACATTATCCCTGTGAAGCAAATCAAGATTAATTTGTGAAAACAGAATTATTTTACATACTGGCCCAGGAAGGAGAATGAGCTTTAGTGTTTCCTGATGAATCACATTGTGAGAACATTCATGTTGCTTCTCAAATAAATGTTTTAGATACACTAACCAACCATAAAGCCACAAAATAATAATAATAATCCTTGCATTTGATATTGTGCCTTTTCATGTCATTGACACATCTCAAAGCGCTTCATAGAATATACTGTGGAGTGACTGTATTTTGTGGGCAGCATCTGAAACAAACCATCACAATTATTTTTTCTCTTGCCTGCCACCAGCACATGTTTTATCCAACCCGCCACATTGGATTTAGCTGAAGAGATTTAGCTGAACACTCAGTGAAGGTTCTCAGAGCTCAGCAATGCCAATTGGTAATTGGGGAGTGGAAGCAAAATAGAAAGCATCTTCCTGGAAAACACAGTTCCTCAGGTGTTGAGTCTCTCTGTTCCAGGCTTGCAGCTCTAATATTGCTTTGGGGAACAGCTCCAAAGTGACTGTTTTTGACTGGTCTTTTCCCCTTCATAGAGAGGAAGTTCCCTGACATATCTTCTTCTCAACTCAGATTATTACCTAGCTGGTCAAGTGTGTCAATTTAGGCTTGTTTTACCCTACTGAATTTACTCTGAACTCCAGTTTCCCTTAAAGTCCATTTGCATTTTGGATAAATCTTGTTCGTCAGTGGAACCAGCGCTGATAATAACCAATATTTATGGCTTGTGAGACTGAGGCCTAGAACCTTTCCAAATGCCAACTCTGAGTTTTGTAAACCATGCTGAATGTACTGGCATCGGCTGCAGAGAGTGAGCTGTCGGAATGATTGTGGCTAGGTATCAGTCAGTGTGTCTGATCCCACGGCTAGCACTGGTGACGACACTGCAGTCAATTCAGTGATTTTTTGATATGTGCCAATTTGTGTTGAAAATACTCTTGAACCCTTTGGTAAAAAAGTCTTGAAAGGCAAGGCTGCTGGCATGAGGAATTGAATAATGGCATCCTATGCGGTATTCTCATACGGTAATTTTGTTGTGAGTATTAAACCCCGGTGTCTGCCCTGGACCACACCGTGCATTGTTGGAAATCATATAACATCAATATACGATTTTTGGGAAAGGAGGCACAGGAAGATGTAGATGGATGTTGAAATGGGTTTGTTAGCGAGCAACTCAATTAAGCTAAGCCAACTGGTTTTCTCTTCATCTCTTGTGAAGAAGGTTACTTGGACTTCCTACTCTAAACCAATTGAGTCCTCGCCCAGATTCACCCGAAAAAAAAAGGGAGCTTCATGCTTCATCTTTCCAGACCCCAAGTGTACCTTCTTATTTTGTTCATTTTTCATTTCAAACATCTCTCACCTATCTATTCCAACAGGAAGGATCAACACTTGTCAGATGATTGAGCTCATAAAGTGCTTTTCAATAAAAGTTCCTATACAATATGTGTCAAGGTTTATTTGCACCTATATTGAATATAAAATACTTTTGTTGTTAGCCGTTGCTCATGATTGATGGAATTATCGATTTTTACGAAACAGCATAAATACTGAGCACGGCAGAATTATAATTATTTATCACTTCGCGATCAACCTGCTGGTTCTCAGTGCAAATCAGAAGGATCAATGTTTTCTGACCCAAATGCTTCTGATCTTTATGAATGAGCATCGTCAATGTTTCTGATATAGCAGCTTGCCCTGGTGACAATGTTGCAGTTAAATCAATAATTTTTGATAGTGGGTTTGCCGTGTCCTGTCCTTCGGATGAGATATTGAACCAAGGTCCCATTTGCCTGTTCATGCAGACAAATGATACCATAGCACTATTCGATAAGAGATAAAGGTTTTTCCTGATATCCCGGCCAACAATTCTCCATGAAGTCATTCACTTCATGGCTGTTTCTGTGAAGTACTTTGAGTGAAGCTTTTCATCATATTATCAAAACTGTAATGTGTAGTTATTGTGTATTTTCAGCAAATGTGACAACTAATTTGCACACAGCATTGTCAGCAACAACAACTTGCATTTATATAGCTCCCTTCACATTGGATAGTGTTTCAGAGGGATACAATGTCCCACAAACAATCATGAAATTAATGAACAATTTAATCTGGAGGATTGTGGTCCAGGCCACTGGGAAAACGCCCATTTCTTTCCAAATAGTGCCATGGGAACTTTATCATCCATCTGAACAGGCAGACAAGGCCTCAGTTTAACATTTCACCCAAAGTGCAGCACCTCCAATGATGCCATGCACCCCTAGCATGGGCTTGAACCCACAATCTTCTGATTCAGAGGAGAGATTGCTACCAAGGTCAGCCTCACACTCGACTCGTATATACTAATTATAGAATGACTAGTGATAACACTTTCTATGTGGTCTGTACTATACTATAAGACTACCAATCTATTTGCATTGATACAAACAACAGCTTGCGTTTCACTCAAGTATTGTAAGATTGAAAAGGACCAAATGTTATTTTAAGACTTGCAACCTGCTTACTGCTAACGGGCATTTTCTGTGAACCAAAGATGCTGCATTTACCCTGTGTACCAGGGGATACAGCACTGATTTGCCTGTTAGCATCTATTATTCAAAGCTCTCCATCAGGCATTGCAATGCAACATTCCTATCTAATTTACTGCGGGCAAGTCATTTATTTTTGTTTACGTATTCCTAATTTCTGATTCTCAAATTATTCAATTTATTAACAATTACACCAATCAGGCAAAGTATAATATTAACACATGCCTTTGCACTTCATTTGGGTTTTTCAATCGAAATAATACAATACCAGTTGTAAAAACAATCGAACGTACTTGGATTAAAATGGGGCTCAGTTGTGCTGCACAACACAACACTGACTCATGAATGTCACAGAGTGGTATGACGATGTATTTACACCTGTAGTTCCTTACATGCCAATGTCCCTGATAATCAATTGTATTATTAGGAAAAANCAGTGAGTGAAGATGACAAGTGAGTGAGAAAACAAACCAACAGATGGATTACCCCAGGCTGTCTCGAGAGCTGAAGAGCAGATGCATGTTGCCCACCCACTTTCTTGTATTAAGGAATTAAGGATAGCATAGAGAAAGAGGATGAATAACACTGGAAAAATATACCAAATGTAAAAGAGATGCTCAACATAAATTTACATGCTAGATATAACAGATCAAGCCAATACATTTTATGCTGGGTTTCAACTTTATATTTTTAAATCATATACACCGTCAATCTTTGATCAGGCATTTATACTGCAGAGTTTCCAATGGTTTCGATGTAGCTATCACGTCAAACCAGCATCAACAAACTAAAAGTTTTATGAGGACCCTAGGAGTTTTGACAAGCATTGCAAAACATCAAGGAGACAGTCTCAAAATGCATGAGCTTCTCACCAACTGCAGTACACCTCCAGTCATTGAAAGAAAGTTGTCAGACAATTCCCATGACTTCCCATAACCTCTTGCTGTGCGCAATTGGCTGCCACGTTCGCCCACAAATATCCAGTCAATTCACTTTACAGTATATTCTGTGAAGCGCTTTGGGACGTCTAGAAGAGGTGAAAAGCGCTATATCAAATGCAAGGATTATTATTATTATTACTGTTAAAGATTTTTAACAGTAGTAAATAGTAAACAATTCTTTTACATTGAATAGTAAGATAACCTTCATTTATGGGCAAGTTATATAATACTTTATGTGCATGTATGCAGACTCTACTTTATTTACATTTCCCAGTGCAACAGACAACAATACAGAGACCACAGTATAACTGGGCTGCCAATAGCATTGCTCTGTTAGACAAGCTGTCTGGTGGCTATAATACAATTAAAGCATAAGGAATGATTATGACAAGCTAAGGGCAATATTAAGCATAAAACATAAAAGAAGACGTCGACAATATTATCTGATGATAGTAATTCCGAAGTATTATATTGTTCAAGATGCTAACTATTTATATATTATATGTGACAAGATGCAGATATTCTTAATTGTCTGGGGATACATCTCAACAAAATGTATAAGGGATATTATACGATTGACAAAGGATTACCACTTGCAATAATCCGATTCACCAGTACAGATGATATCAACAGAAACTCCAAATTGGATTATTGCAAGTAATCGTCTACCAGACATCTAGGATTTCTAATGCCATTATGAAGTTATTTTTTGTTTAACTACTGCTGCTACCTGTTTGTTTAAAAAAAGCTACCAGTCAAACTCATGTCATTGGATCATATTAGATTATTTTTAGAAGAATTCTTCATTCTCTATATCATATCTCATTTCAAATAAATGAGATTTGATTCAGTGTCTTGCTGTCAGAGAATGTAGAAAAAAATTGAATTCCCACCAAATTCTGATTAAAGAAAGTCAATTTTTAAGAAATGTCCATCAAAATAAATGGTGCAAAATAACGTGTAGCAGAAGTAGCAAATTCAAAGAGAGAGCATCACTAGTTTATAAAGCATTAATTCAGTAACCATTTATTCATACACATCAATTTATCCTGCCTCATTTCAGACAAGCAATAGACCAGCTTTTTTATAGCAAGAAATAAACAAAAATAATAAAAGGAATTTGGTGAGTTTTCATTTACAATCACACTCGTAGATTACATTAAAAAGCATCACTTGCACATGACATCACCATGTGGATAATGAGACACAGCTCTCGCCCCTCACAAACAACCTTTCCTTGAGACAAAGGAGCTTTCTGGAATATATGAATAGCTTCAACTTACTGATGGGCGGCTGGAGAGGGTGTCCAATTTTAGCACACCACCCTGCGGGGTGGATGTCAGGGCTGTCAGCATCAATCCAGTAATCATAATCATGGTTCCAGCCATCAAAATGTACCTGAAGAGCAGGGTAATAAAACCATATTGTGTCAAACAATAAAACTCGGTTTTGCAGTTTGTATAAAATGTTTTCCAAAAGTAGGAAGGCAAGATGTGTTTTTAAACATTTCAAATAATTCTCAATTACTTACTGGCACTTTAACTGAATTTAAATATTGATTCAAAGCTCAATTGACTATGAATTCTTAGCAAAGGCAGAATTTTTCACCCCCTCCCCTATAATATAAATGACCTCACACCATTTGAATTTGTACTGTATAGGTAATTCTAGTGAACTGAGACATATTGTAGCGCTCAAAAAGACTGGGCTTATGTCTAAAGAATGGGTAATGCTGCATCTTTCTACTTCCGAAATTAATGGACAAATTTCTCCATTCTCAGCTAGCTGGAGGCTGTTATGTGAAATAAGTTACAACTGAGTTTTAGACATCAAGTCCTGGAAGAGCTTCCTCTTCCTTCAACCAAATGTTAACAAAACCAAACTGTTGCTATAGCCTCTTCATCTCTGGCGCAAACTGTATTAAGCTCCCCTGCTGCTCACGTCAGCAAACAGAACCAGTGTGCAATCTCAGCCTTTGTTCTGGTTCAGGTCTGATCTGATCCTTGACCAAATTTTCTTTTCTCCACCTCTGCAACACTGCCCGCTTCAGTCTCTACCTCAACCCAATGAAGCCCAAATCCTCATTCACAACTTAACTCCAGACCAGATTTCTCCAATATCCTCCTAACTGGTCTTCCCAGTTCAACCTTCCACAAGATACAGATCATCCAGAACTCCACTATCCTTTCCCACACTGGCTCCATTAGTCTATCACCCTCATCACTGCCAGCCTCACTAGTTCCCTATTCTCCAGCGCACTGACTTTAAGACCTTGCTCTAACTTTCAAATGCTTCTATGATTTATCTCTGTGTTCTCCTGCAGTCCCATTCCATCACTCAGGTGTAGAAGGAGGGCTTTCATAATGTAACTAACCTAGGATGCGCTAGATTAGTTAGACTAGAATAAATCAGGGTCCATAGCATGCACACAATGATGCCAGTTGCAGTGCCCCAATTTTAATAATCTGAATACTAATATTAATTACATTTGAGTCTGCTCCTCATCATGTTACAACATTTCAAAGCGCTCCACAGGGTTTTTCTATGAAATGCAGTGACTGCATTTTGTAGGTTAATGTGGCAGCAAGTTGCTCACAGAGATGTCCCACAAACAGTCTTCTGTAGACCTCAAAGCAATAGTTTAACCCAGTACAGACCACGAATTGAAGGCTAAGAATCGCATCACCGTTTTTTAATTCACACCCACATACAAAGCCAGCAACATTGCCTGAGCTACATTACAATCATAACCATATTTTGTATAGATTCAACTCACCTTTATTCTATGATCATCAACGTCTAGAATTGTTGCAACTCTGATGAGCATTGGATTTCGTTTATCAACAACCTCAAACTTCATATTGGGTTGAAATCCATGAGGAGGTCGCTGAACAATGCACAAACAGGATAATTGATTTTAGACTGAACATACTACCATAACACTAATGTGTAGGTCACACATATCTCAATCAGGTTTTTATAATATCCCAAACTTGGTTTACAATTCAGAATCTTCTATCCTCCTGAAGGGGGAATGGGGGGGGGGGCAGGAACTCCTTGGAGATGAACTGGTTCCGTAGTGATGTGTTGGCAATGGAATGTCGAAATTGAGTTCACCCTTTGTGATGGTCTTGGTAATTCAGATAGAGCATTACTGATGACAGACCAGTCAGCTCATTGGCATGACTTGGAGGGACAGATTGGTTATCATGAGCAAGGAATCGTCCTACTCAGCTCCTGTAAATCCTGCAAGCCAAAGCCCTAATTAGAAGGATAGTCGTAGCTGGACAAGGAGTGGTCAGATGGTGCTTCTAAAGGCAACCTACATGGTTTTAGCTGGTTACACTCCAGCAGTATCCCAATGCACATTCTGGGATCTGCAAGCCTCGTCTCTTGCCAGCCTACACCTAAAACTCTCAGAAAATAGATAAACAGGGTGCGTCCCTCCAGGAAAGAGTGCGCATTCCATTCCAGACACGGAAATTTTCATACATAGGTGGCTTACATAGTGGTACTGACAGTCTACTTTGGATACCCTCTGTGTGATGATGAGTTTTTGTATTTGACAAGACACCTGGCTGACCAAAAAAAAATTCAGAACTAGAAATAAAATATAAAATATGGTATAAAATATGAATTAAGAAAAGTCAAATTCACTGCCTTATTAAAAAAAATGGAATCAGTCTTGGTTGAAGAATTGCAAGATTTGTTTAGAAAAAATGTTTCTTTTGAAAATAAACTGAAGACAAAAGAACTATCATTTGAAAGATGTTGAAGTGCTACAATGCAAAAAGATTGAAATTGAATAACAATTTTAAACAAGACGAGCGGTTTGTTGAGGAGTTACTTACCGATTTAAATGCTCGTGCAGGAGCAGGCAGAGAGCTGGTTTCCTCTAAATATTTGTCCCATGAAAATCTTTTAGGATCATGATAACCTATTAGAAATATAGATGTGAACCCAAAGCTAATTCTCTCAGTTTCAGTGCAACAATTAAAGGCCTATATTACATTGAATTGCAGAATACTAAAAATGCCCCCTGGCATGTCCTAAAAATGTCCTGAGTGACTTCCTGTATCTCTCAATTAATCTCTTCATTAAATAGTTTTCTAATTCCCTCTTGAATCTGCTGGCACAATCTGCTTCCATCATTTCCTTGGATAACAATTCCGCATATTCACCACTCTCTGCCTAAATAATTACACCATAACAGAGTTCTTGCATTGCAAATATGTTTACAGGATGTTGCTGGATTTAATAATTCAATATTTTATGATTGATCATCATGTGCTGAGGTATTTAATCAAAATATGATTTTCACATGTTGTACAAAATCCCCAATGCATGAAATTTACAGGAAGAGTGGCAAATGTATGGATGTTAAAACAATTGATGAAGTTCTGGGGAAAATTGTGACTAATATAGTTGGCTGTATATACTATTACAAATGGTATCAGCAGCATTAAACCAAAGTCTCCTTTGGAGTAATTTAACATATGTTAATTTTGTATTACTGTAGCGTGCAAATAACAGCAAGATATGTTAATACAGTAGCAAAATGACCAAATCTGCTCCAGAACTGTTAATGTTTCTTCAGTATACTTTAGATATAAACAAAGTCTTATTCTAAGAATAAAAAGCTTTTATTTGATAACACGTCTCATCACGCCAAAATGCTCAAAGAGCTTGGTACAACAAGTTACTTCAAAGTGCAATTATTACTAATATGTCAGCAAACATGCCAGTCAAACTGCACCAGCAATGTGCCACAGACATGAAATGAGCAATTTAGTTGTTTCTTTGAATTTCAATGGAGGAAGAATATTGTCCAAGAACCTCAGAAAAATCTTTTCCTTTTCACAATAGTGTTATGGAATCTTTAATGTTCATCTGGACAGGGAAACAGGTTCATGATATAAAATCTCACCCAAAGGATGACATCTCCGTTAATGCAGGAATCCCTCAGAACTACCCTTAAATATCAGCCTAAAGTAGGGTACAACCTTCTAATCAGGACCAACTGAGCAAAATCAATACACATAAAGTGGTGCAATGAAAACAATCTAATTCTGGTGGAGATCAACAGAAAATGAATTTGATCTTCAAAACCTTGATTTCAAACTAATTTCAACTATCCTTGGGAGGGGGCGGGGGGAAATAGGGTCTTCTTGGAGTAGAACTCAACTGACTCAAAGGTGACATGTTGGGCAACAGAATGTCAGGATCAAGCCCACCCACTGTGGTGGTCTTGGTCGTCCAGTTCCTGAGCCAGGTGGGTCCGCAGTATTCCAGGGCACTGCTAATGATAGCACAGCCAGGCTGGCTTATCAGAGGACAGGGATGGGCCGATCAGTCACTGGGGGCAGGGTTCTTCCCATTCACCTCCCATTTAACCCTGGAAGCCAAAGCCCTAACGGGTAGGGTGGTCCTAGCTGGGAAAAACTGCCAGACTATAATATCAATGGCAAGCTATGTGGTTTTAGCTAGTTAAGACTCCAGCAGTACTCTAACACACACACTCTGGGGTCCCCAAGCCTTGGCACTTGCCAACCTGCACCTCTACTTTCCGGGATTAGGTAAGCAGGATGCATCCCCCCAGGGAGAGAGTGCGCATTTCATTCCAACAATCTACATCTGAAATTTCCATGTGTAGGTGGGATGCAGGGAAACCTCAGCTTGGTTTGGATACTGTTAAGGTGGGTTTCCTCATGTGTCAAACACCCGAATACCCGCCCCCAAAATAATTTAAATATTATGAAAAACCATTGTGGACTTTTAAGACTATTTACCTGGAGGAGGGGTAAGGCTTTTCCCATGCTCTTGACACCATCCAATTGGGTGAATGTATGGACTCGTAGCATCACACCTGAGAAGTGGGCAATTTATAGCACATTAGTAGTCATATAATAACGTCGCTTTTAATACAGAATCTAAAACGTTGAGAACAAGTCAAGATAATAATAATAATAATCCTTGCATTTGATATAGCGCTTTTCACGTCGGGAGGACGTCCCAAAGTGCTTCACAGAACACACTGTAAAGTGAATTGACTGTATATTTGTGGGCGAACGCGGCAGCCAATTGTGCACAGCAGTGTCCCACAAACAGTCGTAGATTGAAAATGACCAATATATTATTGTTTTTTTTTTGGAGGGATTATTATTAGGCGTGTGGAGTAAGGAAACTTGCCCAAGGTTTCGCCCTGCCTGGAATTGAACTCAGGTCTCTCACTTGCAAAGCGAGTGCTCCAACCACTGAGCTACAGGACTCCACAAGATGCTTCATAAAGTATCTGAAATATATTTGTACGCAAACACAGCAGTCAATTTGCACACAGCAATGACCGAGAAACAATCACCAAGTTAATGACCAATGTTACGTGGAGTTTTGATGACCAGGATACCAGGTAAAACTCCCCTCTATTTTTGAATAGTGCCATGGGATCTTTAACATATCCTTGAACAGGCAGACAGGACCTGGGTTTAACTTCTTAGCTGAAGGATGGAACCTCTGACAATATAGAGCTCCCTTAGAGTCAGCCAAGACATAGCTCAAAGTTCTGACATTATTGAACGCACAACCTTCTGAACCAGGGGAAGGAGATCTACCAACTGAACCAGGCTAACATATACTTTATAACCTACATATGACACAAAGACATTAGGGTAGTTTCAGAGCTGGTTTATTTTGCATGTGAAATTTGGGACTTTATTAAATAGGTAATTACAAATATTATATTAAGATGTTATTAAAATGTAAGCCACAAAGACAAAATAATGGTGATACCAGCATACTAAATAAACTTAGCTGAGGTATTGATTGGTGCACAGGAGCTAGTTGCTTGTTCAAAGTATATCACGTTGAAGTGGCGCTTCCACGGGTCAATGTGACGCATTTTCAGAATTTTTACTTAAGAAATCCCATTTGAATCTTTGCATATTAGACTGCATTTTTTAAATTTTACTCCATTACACGTAAACTGGTACCAATGAAAGCAGGAACTCCCATTGCTGTATGCTGCAATAACTAATAATTAAACTCTTTATAAGAGCACCCTCTGGTGGTTAGTATACAAGTGCTATAATAAACAATGTTAATTCAAATATTTCACAAGAGATCACAATAGACGTTTGGATGAAGGCCCTTTAACTCAGTCACAAAAATTATGATTCTCAAATGTAAGGATTATTGGTATTTGGTCTCATCTTTCTAAAATACCCATCCTATCATCGGCCCATCACAGATCAAGCTGTTATTTATAAATGAGTTCAGCATTCAGGCCTCAAATCACCTTTTCTCGTAACTTGTTCCGAATTGTTAATTACCGTTCTAAGTAAAGAAATACACGTGTATCCTATTGTTTTGCTGTCTCGGTGCACCTCAAATTATTGTTTGGGAGTTTACTTGCTCAATCGCATTTAAAATCTTGTATACCTATACAGGGTCTCCTTTGAGACAACTCGCCTACACTGAAGAGCTCCAGCTTGTCTAATCGGTACTCAAAGCACATCTGTCTAACATTGGGGATCTTTCTTGTTGCTCTACCCTGCAGTGCGTCTTGAGATCAGAACTGTAATTGCTCTAGGTGGTGGTCTGATCAAGTGACTTGGCAATACAGCCCAGCATTCAGTTGGCTTTTTTGTTGCTGCCTCACATTGTTTTGACATTGTGAGAGTTGAGTCAACTACCATCTCTAAGATCTCTTTCATCTTCCACTTTTGCAAGTTCTATCCTATCCGTGGAATACACGTGCCTCCTATTCTTACTTCAGATACGCAGTATCTTGCATTTATCTGTACTAAACTTTATTTGATATTCATCAGCTCAAGTCATACCCCATCAAACTCTCTTGTGAGATTTTTGCTACATTCTATGATTCCAGTTTCCTGCAACTTGGTATCTGAACCTGTGAATCAAAGTCATTAATTTATGCAAAGAACAGAAGAGGTCCCAGTACAGACTCCCGAGACCCCCCACTTAATACTTCCCCATCTTGACCTAGCTCTCTTGACAACTACTTTCTGCTTTCTTCCTTTCAAACAATTCTGAATCCATGTCCACGTCTTGTCCTTCATATCCAGTGACATCAGTTTGTGAAGGTGTCAAACACCTTTTGAAAGTTCAGATAGACTACCTCATATGACTTTCCACAATCAATTAGGGCTGTCACCTCCTCAAAAACATCTATGAGGTTGGTCAAATAAGATCTATCCTTTCTGATCCCAGTAGGCTGCTATTTTGTAAATTATTTTTATCATCTTCCATTTTCTTTCTTGACTCGGTTCAAATGTTTCCAATTATTGAGGCCAGGCTAATGGATCTATAGTTGCCAGGTATGGTTCTGAATCCTTTCTTATATATGGAACAACATTTGCTGGGTTCTAGTCTGTTGAAATCTCAGTGGTGGTGATTGACTCCACCAAAAAGTCTGTACATGCAATTCAAATCTCTAGCCTTGTCTCCTTAAGTTCTCTGAAATACAGTTTGTTCAATTCAGGGGTACCTGTTGGTTTTCAGCTTTTTGAGCCAATCTAGAATCTGAATCTCACTTGTATCAAAGTCTTGAAGCACAAACAATGTTAGCTGGATTTTGTTTGTGTGTGTATGCCGCGAGCATGTGGGCGCAAGCGTGTTTGGGGTGTGTGTTCACAGTATGTGTTTGTGTGGGGGCTGTTAAAAACCTCCAAATAGTAGTTGCTTAATAAAAGTAGCTTAATGGGGCAGTGTTTAGATCTATGTATAATATATATAACCTCTTGAATGACTGCTTCAAAAACACTTTGCATTTTGCTTCCTTACCAATAATCATAGCTTTCATCCCAATTATCAAAGTGCATGAGGAAACGATTGTCCACCATATCTGCTACTGTGGCCACGCAAATAAATGTTGGATTCTTCTTGTCTACAGCCTCCAGCTTCATACCAACACGGAAACCTAGTGGAGTAATTGTCTTTAAAAGAAAATACATTTAAATTAGATTGATTACTGTATGACATGTCAGCATTTGTTTGTATTTATATTTGACAACAACAACAAAATTACATTTGTATAGTGCCTTTCACGTCGGGAGGATGTCCCAAGGTTCTAATATTGGTTACACATCAGCAACTGCAGTCTTATAATGAAACATTGATGACTAACCAGACAGTTTGCGACTTGTCCAGCTAGGATCACCCTAACATTTAGAGTTTGTGGAAGCTTTAAGGTATAAGGTGTGCTGACCCAGCAAGCACAAAGCTCTGAGGCAATGGATGGCCAAACTTTACAGTTGGCCAAACAAAATAATTTTTCTTGATTGAACATGTTGATTTATGCCACTTCCGGCCTATGGGCCACAGGTTAGCCACTACTGCTCAAACGCATACTCTGGACTGCTCTGGACCTAGCTGGCTTTCAACCTGACAAAGATCCCACTTAACTTATTTTCCAAAGTAGGATATTTTTAGACATACTACTCATTCTATCAACCTCAAAAAGGGCGAGAGACCAAGTGGACCTATTGAAATTTGAACCCAGATTCTTCCAATCACAAGTCTGCTGGTGCTTAACCCACTGAACTACTCAGAAACCTCAGACAGGTGTGGCAAGAGGCATCAATACTACCAAAATATTGTCTGGCAGAGTTCCATCAGCATTCATCTTAGCTGAGCTATGTACGGCTACTTGTCTGCAAGTCCTCATCTGTGCATGAAAATTACACCATTTCAGGAAAAAGTTACAAACTGCATTCCATTCAACAGCAGAAGCTTAACTGTGGCTCAAATTCTCCAGTGAAAAACTTTCCTCAAAGTTTCCACCATATTTTTATCTAGACATGAGGGAGAGGGAACCAAACAGAACTAAAGAGTCACAAGTTCTATGTTATAACTATTTTATAAATATAAACCAGTGATGCGGTGGCACCAACACAGAATTTGTAGTCACACCACTTGGTGAAGAGGGCAAGAATCTCCCTACAGAGGCAAGAAAAATGGGCAAGTCACTGCTTGGAGGTTTGTGTGGCTGCTACAAAACAGCAGTGGGAAAGGACTGGAGGCAGATTGTATGTCCACTCATCCCCTCAGCTACAAAAGGCCTCATGGCTGAACAGCCAGCTGGCACTCGAGTGCTCAGACTCAAATATGATGAAGGGCCCAATTGGGGGGAGATGCTTGTGAAATTCGACTCAACAGAATTTTTGCCTTTCACAGAAGATTGAGTAAAGAGAAAAAAANTTAGAAAAANTAATAAACCATGTGTTTTATGGCATTGCAAGTGTGGAGTTTATCATGCTTCTTAAACCAGAATGTATTACAGTTTTTATGCTTACTGTGTTTTGGTTTTCAAATAGGGATTTGGGTGCAGCTTGAGCTTTGCACATCTTCATGTACAAATGCCAATTAAACTCATCCTCTTTGAATCCTGGAACAGATGAAAGTAACAATCAAAGACAATATTCTGATCCATAATTAACTCTTATTCACATCAATGCAGAGAAGTACCACGCACTATGATGTTCCCTAACTTCAAAGCTTGAAACTCAATTTCCAAAATTCATCGGTAACTATGAGAAAAAAAATTGCTGAGACAAAGTAGATTTAATTATTTACCTTTCTGACCGAATACGTAGTTATCTTTAAGCAAACTTAATGATGATGTCCTTTTCAAACTTTTCATTTTTGAAAAGTAACAGGTTTAAAAAGTCATTCCAGTTGGCATTTCAAATTTGACAAATACACAGGCAGAAGTTTTTCCCCCCAACTGCCTCAAATGTCAAATATTATTACATATTTTTATTAACACTCCAATGTTTTTCTTCTCATTGAGGAGAGATTTTATTAGCGTTGAAGTACACTTCTGAGTTTTGTGCAATTTCTATTGAACAAGACAGTAGTGAAGCAGGAGGATGAAATACATGAAAACCTTATTATAGTGTAGTTGGCTGGGCCTAATATCTCAGAAGTTATGTTATAAAACAGGTGCTAAAGAATAGCTAACTTCAGGGTTATCAAGCTGCAGCTGACAACATTTCCTGGCACTCAAGTTGTCATTGACATCAGTGATGCTTCCTGCAAGTATGTGCAACACAGGAAGTGACGATACTGACAATGAATTACTGTGTTACTAATTGTTGGGAAATTCTGAAGTAACATTCATTTACAAATATCATTATCATCCGAATACCAGTCGTATATTGTGAAACATTACCTGTGAGCTAACTCTACCTATTGGGACAAAACAGCTAAAATGAAACTTCCAGGAGGAAGTGAACCTTAAAACAGCTCTGCATTATTTCGATAGTATGTTTAAACAACTTTTTTCTGTGTTTAGTAATTTTAACTTTTTTTTAAAAAAAAACACTTTTTACAATGATCTACAGAAATGTGCATGAATTCCTTTTTGGGATTTACCTTTTGGTGGGTGAAGTTTATGTCCTGTTTTCTCACACCAGCCCACAGGGTGGATATCTGGCGAATCCACATTTACCCAGAAGTCATAACAATCTGAGTATCTGTCAAAATGTAGCCGTATTCTGTAGCCACATACCTGTAAAGTCAGTTTATTCGTAGGTCAACTTTTAAGTATATTGGAAGAAAATCCTGCATTCAAATACATTCTTATTTTAATGTGAAGGGGATTGCTTCTGTGATCATTGGTCAATAGGACCTAGAGTGGGTAACACATATCAAATAATTATTATTTGATTGAGGGACAGCAGTGTAGATATTGGAAAAGACATCTGAGATTAAGACATTAAAATATTTTATGGAACAAATGTTTAAGTGTTGCTTTCCCTTGAAATATGTACAACAGACGTATTCCAGTCAACGAGCAGCAAGATTCTAGGATCACTGGTAAATCTATCAACCTCTGCACCCAAACACATCGTGTTCTCCAGTGGTTTCAAATGCATCTTCAATTAGAGAATTATCTCTAATATTCTATGAGTTAGAAATATCCTAATATCCTATGAGTTAGAAATTTGCCTCCAAACTAAAATGCCACAAAATAACCGATGGGTCCAATTTTTCACTGTTAGATAGCAAAAGAGAATGCTTGCTTCCAATTGGATTTTCTTCCAAAAATCCCCGAAGTTTGCGATTCCTAAGACATATTGTTTTACGCATCTGCAAATATTGTAGCTGAGGAACAGTTCTCACTCAGTAATGAGGCAAATGTAAGAAAACCTAGTTGACCCAGAAAAACACAGACCTCTCAAATCACAAAATCCACATTCCCACAACTACAGGCAAAAGATTCTTTATTTTGCAGTCTTGTGACATTCAGCATTTATTCTAACCCCTCAAATTTTCCCCTTCTTGGTGCACATTGTCAACACTTAATACATTTTAACAGCATGAGGATCTTTTAAACCAAAATCACTGTGGGGCATTTCTCATTTCAGTGCTCATTGCCAGATTCTTTTAAATTAGTTTTTTTCCTTTACAGCATCTTTTAGGCCAGGTAAAAGTTGTGAGATCTATTGAACGGGCTCCACAATGTCTCACAAATTCACCCAATGAGTATCTGAGCCCCACAGATTAGTGAGGTCTTTGTTGCATTCGCTGACCTTAGCCAAAACATGTTTTGAAACTACAATTGGCCTTAATACCTCAATGATTGGGAGGGGTAAATTAGCCATGGTTTCCATTGCTGATCACGACTCAATGATCATTGTTTGAAATGATGCTGTGCCAAGATATCAGATAAGAATGAAACCAACTCAATTGTGATGTTCCCTACAGTCAAATAACTCGCCAACACTCTGTGTCAGGACTCTAACATGGATAACATGAATCGTTGAGTCAGGATACTGGAGAGTGACTGTTACCTTTGAAACCTAATATTGTAGATGGAAAACACCTTCAGGTGAAGAGAGGAAAGGAGGAAAATACATTGGTGGAGAACAATTGACAAATAATAAAATTATTTCTTGCATCTTCACTCCCAAACTAGTATATTTTACTGACTCCAAGTGACTTTACTAACTCCTAGTAATCAATATCTAAAAATATTTTACAATGAGAAAAATGTGACATGAACATTTGGAAACTAAAATAACCAGTTTATATAGATTTATTTTTAAAATGGGCAGCATGAGTGTCAATCTTAGCAGCGTATTTTTTTGGAAAAAAAACAGAAAGTTCTGCCTTGCCATCACTCATTAATAATCTATTTTTCTCTATGAAGATAACAAATAACACATAAAAATAATTGTTGCGTTTGATCTTTCACGTCTTTGAGACGTCTCAAAGTGCTTCACAAAATATATTGTAAAGTGAATTGACTGTATATTTTGTGGACAAACCTAAATTTGCATGTACTATATTTGCACATTCACATGCAAATTTGTGTCTCTACATTTGGTTAAATTTTGCAGACACTATTGAAATGTACCTCAGCCACAGTAAGGGCGCAGTACATAGACGGATGCTCTGGATCCACACCTTCAAGTTTCAATCCAACCTTAAATCCATTTTTGCTCTGTGGAAATGACTGGTACTGAAATGCAACAAATGAAATGAGTACAATTAGATTTTATCTTAGAAAAAGCATACTTTGTCTATGTAAAGCAATTGAACATTGTTCTCTCTTAATAATGGGGAATAAAGTAGAAAAAACTATACAAAATCCACAGGTATCTAAAAAAAACTAATTTATTCAAGCTTCCAATTAGAATGATCAAAAATAATAAATCATATTCTACCAAAACTAAATGTCAGTTTATTATATAACAAATAAACTAACAAAACTTTCAGCAGTTTATAATACATTATAAGCATATAATAAATAATAATAATAATCCTTGCATTTGATATAGCGCTTTTCACGTCTTCTAGACGTCCCAAAGCGCTTCACAGAATATACTGTAAAGTGAATTGACTGTATATTTGTGGGCGAACGCGGCAGCCAATTGTGCACAGCAATGTCCCACAAACAGTCATGGATTGAAAATGACCCATTTATTATTGTTTTGTTTTTTTGGAGGGATTATTATTAGGCGTGTGGAGTAGAGACTTGCCCAAGGTTTCGCCCTGCCTGGAATTGAACTCAGGTCTCTCACTTGTAAAGCGAGTGCTCTAACCACTGAGCTACAGGACTACCATCTGCTGTACTGCTCCTGAATGGCTCCCATGTTTCAACAAAATATTCTACGACAGCTTAACAAAGCTACGAACAATGATAACATAGCCTTAATATTATTTAATGTAGAATTTACCTTCAACCTCACATTTGCCTGGATAGACAGTCTACTTGGAGATCTGCACAACTAATCTCATTTGCTGGTTATCAGACAACACAAGATGCCATTCAGATGGTAATTGCCCATTACAAAAATCAGTCAGTATCAGTAGGAGAATCGCTTATCATGCATTCATAGAATGTTAATGCACAGAAAGATATTCCACCCATCAAGCCTGCACTTATGGAGAAGATTCTCCACACGAGTCACCCAGTCTAATCCCAATCTCCTGTGTGCTTGTCCTACCCTTTAATATTCTTCTTTTTCAATCGTCCATCTCAATTCCCTTTTAAAATAATTTATAGACTCCACTTTAACAATGGTGTGTAGTAGAGATTCCCACATTGCCACTACCTTGGCAATGAAGAAATATTTTTTAACTTCCCTCTTAATTCATTTTGTGATTATTTTAAATTTGTACCCTCTTGTTACTGGCTAACCGAGCAATGCAAATAATCATGGCAACTATTACTCTATCATAATCATGATGTCATCTATCTCTTGGACCCACAATAGAAAACTTTTGTCTCCTGCAGATAAAGGAGAGACAAGAAGTGCTCGAAGGGGTTATCCTTTCACAATGCATCTTATTTTACAGGCTGTAAAAGGGCTGCAATCCAAAGGCCTTAATCTGCAAGATGCTAGGAGGGGCTCAATTGCAACGTGGCCAAAACCATGCACATTCCCATTCTACTTTATTTCTGAGAAACTGGTGTCAAATATTAGCCAGAGCTCTTAAGAACTAACCTCCTTGAAAAGCTTAGTAGGTGCTGCTGTAGCTTTTTCCTCTTCCAAATAGGATGCCCAACACCAGACTTTCCTTTTGCCATCAAAAGTCAAAGCTGGAAAAAAATGGTTCAAAACATATTAGCTGCGAAAAAAGGTTTTCTTTTCATGGATATGCAAAGTAAAGAGGAACTTCACAAAGCCAAATTGAGTTTCAAACCTTTTAAACAGTAAAACAATAAATGTGGATGGATTTCTACACATAAAACAGTCATGGCCAGTAAACAACAGATCTTTAAAGCTACAAATCTGCATTAATTTTATGTTGCATTAAAATTACCAATAGAATCAACAATGAATAATTTGATTCTGGGCACTTTAGGAAGGATGTAAGGGCTTTGGAGAAGGTGTAAAGGAGATTTCCAAGAATTATACCAGGGATGAGGGACTATGACTATGTGGAGAGACTAGAGAGGCTTGGGGTTATTCTCCCTAGGGCAGAGAGGGTTAAGGGGAGATTTAATAGAAGTGTTCAAAATTATGAGGGGTTTTGATAAGAGTAAATAGGGAAAAAACTGTTTCCTCTTGCAGTTGGGTCAGTAACTAGAGAACGCAGATTTAAGATAATTGGTAAAAGAACCAGAGGGGAGACAAGGAGAATTTTTTTTCACCCAGACAGTTGTTACTGTCTGCAATGTACTTCCTGAAAGGATGATGGAAACAGATTTGATAGTAGCTATCAAAAGTGAATTGGTTAGGTACTTGAATAGGAAAAAGCAGGGTAGTGGGACTAATGGATAGCTGTTAATGAGCTGGCAAAGGCATGATGGGCTGAATGGCATCCTTCTGTGCTGTAAGATTCTATGATTCGATGAAAAGTCTCCTTTCAGCTCCTACCCAAATGGTGGATATAAACTAGAAGAGAACTAGGGAATTGGATTACTTTGGCTGTAAAAAAAATCAGGCAGGCACAAGTCAAATTTGCCCCTTGTAAACATGATTAATATGTCAACCTTTTCATTCCACAACACAGAGCATATCCAATGTCTCAACACACGTGTTTTACAAATGCAACAAACTAAGGATAGGTAAATGGTTTCAAAGCAAAACAAACAGGGTGGAACTAAATTAAATACAGCTTTACTTTCCTCAACAGCGACACAATGTGCATCACTCTTCCAGATCTACTTCTAAAACAATTCAAGTAACAGTCTACAGTTGTCCTTATTTCAATACAATAATTCAAGCTCTATTCAAGATACAAATCCCATAAAGTAAAAATAGTGAATTATATTCTTTGGTAATAAATCACCTATATCTTCCTTTTACCCACAAATTTCACCCACAAATATAGTCAATTCACTTTACAGCATATTATGTGAAGCACTTTGAAATGTCTAGAAGACATGAAAAGCGCTATATCAAATGCAAGGATTAGTATTATTATTATATTATTTTAAACTCAATGAAGTTTCAAGCCTTGCATTATCAGTGTAAGATTTCATATTATCTCAACTTACTTTGTTTCAGCAATCCAGAGTCACCCTTTCTTCTCCTGCGAGCTCTGACATGGTTGTTCTGGGCTACTTTCAGCATCTTCTGCTCTCCTGGTTTTTCTTCCTAAATTGCACAAATGAAATTATATCTGGCTTCACTGACTTACTGTCACCGAGTTACATTGTACTTATTTTGAAGATTATAAACTCCCCTCTATTCGCTTCCCATTTCTCTTCTTGTCAAGCAATGCAACTGATCAGCAAAAAGGGCAGCCAGCAGCTTTCCAACGGCTGCCAGGAGGATGTGACAACTGAGCAGCAATGACTATCTCTGCAAATTCCCCTCTTGCTTGCAGGGAGGTGCCTTGCTTCCAGTAGGCTTCTGCACAAAGCAGCAAGGCTGAGGTTGGGATTTCAGCAGTCCGGAGGGAATTCACGCACTCAGCTCAGCTCAAAACAACAGCACAATTTTACTCATCCATGATGAATTGCAATAATCACTGTACCATGCAAACACATTAATGTTAAAATCTATTTGGTTTTATATTACTTTTATGCTCAGTTACTATCTCACATTTTAAAAAGCTGAGATCTTAAACACATTTATGATAATTTTTACTAACAATTCTGAAGAAAAATGGTGATAAACCTGAGAGAATCTAGCATATACACTGGAACACGAAGCTTTGCATGGGCTGTGCACTCCAGCATCACTTTATTATGAAGAAACAAAATATTATAAGCTATCCTACCAAATAGAATGGAAAAATAACACTTACAATGTCCTCATATTCTTCCTTTGGCAACTCGCCATTTTCTTTAGTATCTCCCTTTGCAGTCAAAGATGGCTTTTGTCTCTTTTTTCGACTACACTTGGAAACTTCATTACTATTACATGTCGATGGTTCCTTTTTCAACATAGATTCCCTGCAATGTAATAGCATCCTAGTAAATAAATCCAACAAGAAGTCAGTGACTTCAGTAGATACTTCCTTCCCCACTGAAAGATCTTTAAAAGAAGTTGTGAATAATAATCCTCGCATTTGATATAGCGCCTTATCACATCTTCGAGACGTCTCAAAGAGCTTCACAGAATATACTGCAAAGTGAATCGACTGTATATTTTGTAGGCGAAACACGGCAGCCAATTGCACACAGTTGTGTGCCACAAACAGTCGTGGATTGAAACGAACAAATCATTATTATTTATTTATTTTTAAAAGTATTATTATCCCCAGAAAAGCAATCCACCAATTGACGAACAAGCGAGTTCCCTCTTACTGATAGGTAAACAGAAGCATGTGGAGTAAGATAACTTGCCCAACGTTTCGCCCTGCCCGGGAATCAAACCCAGGTCCTCTCGCTGGCGAGGCGAGTGCTTTAACCATTAAGCTACATAACTGCTGGAGCCTTTGATGGTTTTATGAATATCAAATATATGTAGATGCATAAATGGATACATACATTCTATGCACAATATACTGAAAACCTAGATATTAAGTACATTGGTTCACGATTTGACTGAAAAATGTTTATTGATCTTGCTGCTCTCCAGCCCAGTGTGTCAAACAATAAAATGAATCAAAGGTACCTGCCAGTTAACAAACAAGCATGTCAAAGGAAATCAATAACATATAAGTAACACATAGACTTTGTAGCTGGTGGTAAATGTCTTCCTTTGCTTTATGAAAACATTCATGAAGAAGTTTAACCATTGGATGAACCTCATTGCAATGCGGAGTGTCACAATTGTTGCAGGTTTCCACAATAGGCCAAGTGGTTGAACACTGGACTCCTTACCAGAGATCTTACCTTTGAGTCCCAAGGCAGTCTCTCCCACTACCTTGTGTCAGATGATGGATTGTGAGGCACTGGCACAGATTGCATTTCAGAGGGCATGGGGGAAAAAATCATTGCCTGCCATGCTGCAATAAATTTGCCTAAATTGTTCCTTTCTTAACATTTTCTTTCTCTTCCTTACCTCAGTTTCAATCTCTCTTTCTTTCTACTACAGTGCGTGTAAACACCACGATAATCAGGGGAGGCTGAGCGCTATAAATATGTCTTCTTAAAAATTAAAATGAAGTATTTATTAACCCACCGGCAGTCAAGTCAGGTGCTGATCTGAGAAGTTAGAACTGGATTGATCAGCCAATGTTAGCAGGCTGCACAGGCACTGAGCATTTCCTGTCATGTGCAATCTGCAGCCTGCTAACCCAAATCAGAGATCTCCAATCAGCTCAGATACAAAGCACAACAACAAAATTACATTAAAGCTACCACCTCCCAAAAGAACACCTGCCTCCGCCCAACTTTCTTCTCCCCTTTCTCTTCCGACTTGTTGAAATGCATTCCATAGGTGTCACTGCTTAAATGAGACAGCCCGTACATACTGGTTGTACGTACAACAATCCTGTCCGATGTCATCAACTTCTCCCTGTCCATTGGTTCAGTTCCCACCCTGCTAAAAACAGCCGTCATCACCCCCATCCTGAAAAAACCTTCCCTGGATCCATCCCTCCTCTCCATCTCTAACCTCCCATTCCTCTCCAAGGTCCTGGAACGAGTCGTTGCATCCCAGCTCCGCTCCTTTCTCTCTCAACATTCCCTCTTTGAACCCCTTCTCATCAGCTTCCGCACTGCCCACAGTACGGAAACAGCCCTGGTCAAAGTCACTAATGACATTCTGAACATCTGTGATCATGGCTCCCTCTATCTCTTTGTCCTCCTCGATCTCTCTGCCGCCATCGACACTGTCGACCACTCCATCCTCATACATCGCCTCTCCGCTTTACTCAATCTTCATGGACCTGCCCTTGTCTGGTTTGATTCCTATCTCTCTCACCGTTTCCACTTCATTGCCTCTCACGGTTTCTCCTCCAGCCCTAGCAATGTCACGTCTGGCATTCCCCAGGGCTCTGTCCTTGGCCCTCTCCTCTTTAGTATCTACATGCTCCCCCTTGGTGACGTCATCCGCAGACATGGGGTCAATTTCCACATGAATGCGGATGACACCCAACTCTATCTTTCTGCCTCCACCCTCAACTCCAGTACCCCTGCTGTCCTGTCAGACTGTCTGTCGGACATCAAGTCCTGGATGAGGGTAAATTTCCTACAGTTGAATGTGAACAAGACTGAGGCCCTCCTGATTGGCTCACGCCAGCGCCTCAGCACCTCAGGCTCTGGCAACATCAACCTCCATGGTTGCACACTATAACTCACCAGCCAGTCAGGAACCTAGGTATCTTGTTCAACCCTCAACTGTCTTTTCTCCCCCACATTCAAGCCATGACCCGCTCTGCCTTCCCTCACATCGCCCGACTCCGCCACTACCTCACCCCTCAGGCCGCTGAAACTGTTGTTCATGCCTTCATCACCTCCAGGCTCGACTATGTAAACGTCCTGCTTGTCGCCCTTCCCAATTCCTCCCTCCACAGGCTGCAGATAATCCAGAATTCTGCAGCCCATGTCCTCTCCTGCACCAAACTCCGTGACCCCATCTCCTGCACTCCCACCCGACTCCACTGGCTCCCTATCCTTCAAAGGATCCAGTTCAAGATCCTGGTCCTCACATACAAAGCCCTCCATGGCCTCGCCCCACCCTACTTCTGCAACCTCATAACCCCCTACCAACCCACCCGTTCCCTCCGCTCAGCCGGCTCTGGCCTGCTCCACGTCCCCCGACTCACCCGCCCCACCAATGGCGGGAGAGCCTTCATCCACTCTGCCCTCAACCTCTGGAATTCCATCCCCCAGTCACTCCGCTTCGCCCCTCCTTTGCCTCCTTCAAGTTCCGCCTCAAGACCCTCCTATTCAACCATGCCATTGGCCAATCTCCTTCCCCCCCCAACCCCAGCTCAGGTCTGAAATGCTGTACTCTGTCCAGCGCCTTGGGAAGTCCTCCCGACATGAAAGGCACTATACAAATGTAATCTTGTTGTTGTTGTAAACTTTTTATTACATTAGATTTCTCATTTCTTTTCCCATTTTTCACTGAAATCCAATAGTCTTTATTTACAGTAAAATAATAATGTCATTCGTACAGCTGATGTGTGAAATGTCACAGTAAAATGACTGTTATCCTATGATCATTATTCCCTCCCACCCAGCCCCAAGTAAAAAATAATATTTGGCACTTACTTTTCCTTTGCCTGCTGAGCACATTTTACACCGCAAAACTTGCCCTTGTGGCTAAATTCCTCTGGAGTGCCATAATGGCCACAGTTCTCACAGCAAAGTATTCCATCCATACTGGGGGCCTCCTCAGTTGTCAGTGTTGGTGCTGAGTTTCCAGCTAAAACTAATTGACAAAACATATCGGTCATTTCACAAGGACAAGATAAAGGGGACTGTAAAAGCATTTAGACGGCAGCATCAAGGCGTAAATGGCATGATTGTTGGAAAAAGGAGCTCAGGTTGTAAAGTGTGTCACGTGCAAGGATGTCCAATGTATTTTATACTAACCAGTAAAAACTTTGCTGATGCCTAAGATTGCCTCAGAACAGATTTCAATTTTTAGCCTATGCTGAGTTGCTTGATCTTAACACGGCAACGCTGGGGCACTATAACTGGCTTCTCCTATCTTGGTAAGACGTACATATCGTCTGTGCACAAAAAACACTTTACATCCTGAGGTTCTTTTTGTCTGATATTTGCGATTTTTTGGTTCATGAGCTTTTCCACCACTGAAGTCACCTGTGCACGTATATAACATAGTGGTAGAGGCCAGGACACTGGACATAAAGCACTCTGGGACATTACCCCACGTGAAGGGTGCTATATAAATGCAAGTTGTTGTTGCTGACTCATTTAAAAAGCAGCTTGATGCAGTGATGAGGAGGGCTGAACTCAGATGGACCAAAGGGCGTTCTTCATCAGGAACAATTTTGTGATCTACAAACCCCTCCTAACATGTTCATTTGCAGGATTTGATTCCACATGCACCTTTTCTCATTTTTCGCCAAAATCCAATAGTCTTTATTTACAGTAAACTAATATTTTTTTAAATTTAGTCAATAAATGTAAATTAAAAATGTTCAGCTAAGTAAATGCGTCATGTGATAAGGTTCTAAAATAGATCAGGAAAATCCCAGGTTCGATCCCCGGTTGCTGCTGACTCACTCAATCTCAGGTGCAGCGATGGCAGGGCCAGTAACTGGTTTCTGTACATCTTGGAATAGGGGAATATTGTGACTAACATTGGAAGAGCAAATGTGCAAACAATACAGGTTTATGTTCAGTCTCAGATGCTAGATTAACTGATTTGGGTTTTGAACATATTTTTCAAGGCATTACTTTTGACTGATGGAAAACACTTTATAATTCAGTACACAATTTGTAGCGTAAAATCATTCTAAGACAGAGCTAAAATGCGACATCTATTAATGCCACAATGTTGATTACCTTGCCAGCACTCACTAACTTAATTATTTAATGATATACTAGTGGCCTGTTCCCTTGGAATTGTAACATTTCTCCTGCAAATCCTCAATCAGAAGGAGGAATGGAAATAAACCATAATGATTTAAATTGAGCAATTTGTAATGTATTAACTGAGCCTAAACATTTAAACAATGTCTTTATAGTCATTTTCAAGTGTGGAATTGAGCTTTTATAGGTTTATTCACAGAACACAGTCTTAGACTGAGTTAGGCTAGTATCCTCTACATAAGATCAGAAAGGCTATTTTCTGGCACTCAAACATTATACAGGCAAAATGGAATTCAAGATGAATGTGTCCAGGAATTTTCTTCCAGCCTTTGATCTTACAATTATTCAGAAATCAGTATTTCAAAACATATTTTAACCTCATTCCATAATTAGGAAAAGGAATAATGTTCAGGAATACTGCAACTTTGACCATTCTATTCAGACACAGAGAGTTGTTATGGTCTGGAATGCACTGCCTGAAAGTGTGGTGGAAACAGATTAAATAACAACTTTAAAAGGGATAGGTATTTGAAAAGGAAAAACTTTAGTCAGGTACTTGAAAAGGAAAAATTTGCAGGGATATGGGGGAGCATGGTAGTGAGTACTGATTGTAGCTCTTCCAAAGAGCCAGCACAGGCACGATGGACTGAATGGCCTCCTTCTGTGCTGTAATATTCTATGATTCTTCCCTCCACAAGCTGCAGATCATCCAGAACTCTGCAGTTTGTGTCTTCTCCCACACCAGGCTCCGTGACCCTATCACACCCACCCTCACCCGGCTCTGCTAGCTCACCATCCCTCAGAGGATCGAGTTCCAAATCCTCGCCCTCACCTTCAAGGCCCTCCATGGCCTTGCCACCTCCTACCGCTCCGACCTGCTAGCCCCTTATCAACTTCTCCACTCCCTCCACTCAGCAGGCTCCAGCCTGCTCCATGTCCCCGCCCGGCCCCAGCATCGGCAGTCGGGCCTTCAGCCTCGCTGCCCCCACCATCTGGAACGCTATCCCACGTTCACTTTGCCTCGCTCCCTCCCTTGCCTCTTTCAAGGCACGCCTCAAGAACCCTTCTTCGACCCAGCCTTCGGTCACCCTGACATGCAAATCCCTGACTGTTCAGTGCCTTGAGATGTCCTATCGACGCGAAAGGCGCTTTACAAATGTAATTTTGGATTGGATTTGTTTCCTATGATATAGGAATATTGGAGACACATTGAAAAAAACCTCCAAACATATGCATTCACATAGCATCTTTCGTGTGGAATGAATGTCCGTCTTACAGTGCTTCACAGTGACAATGGGAAGGATAATAATAATAATCGTTGCATTTAATATAGCGCCTTATCACGTCTTCTAGACGTCTCAAAGTGCTTCACAGAATATACTGTCAAGTGAATTAACTGTATATTTTGTGGGCGAAATGAGGGTGTTCACCAAAAGTACGGTTAAAAAGGTACATTTTATGAGTGTATTGAAGGCAGTGAAAGAAGGCACTAGACAAGAAATTTGGGAAAATTTCCAGGAAGGTGGGGGATGGAGGGGGGGAGAGTGGCTGGTGGCTGAAAGGGCAGAAGCAGTGAAGAACGAGCAGTACACACATAAGGATGGATTGCTTAGTGAGCGAGGGGCAAGATCACTTAGTGCACGCACAAATAAAGACGTTTCAAAATGCCACACTAACCTTCATGCACAATAGGCACATTCCATGTCTTAGTAGCACTGGCCTTTTTTATCCTTTCCACCTCTGCTTCGTCTGTGATTATCTCCAAAGCACCAAACTCATTTATTCTAAACTACACGTAAAGAAACCTTAATGGATCATTTCCAATAAAATATGACTCATAACATTCAGAAACTACATGTTATTATATTAATTCAGAAAAGAACTTTGCCCAGCATGACAAATTATTTCCACCTGTCACAACCAACTGCTAATGCACTTCAGGAGTGAAGACAGTTAAATGAGAGAATGCCATTGGATCATAAGCTTTTGTAATGTTTTCTGCAAAGGATACAGGTATCACAATGCCACTATTCTGGTGCCAGTGCACTCACCCACAATCTCGGCGGTCTCATTATCATTATTTCAACCTGTTTGACTGGGACAGGAAACTGTGCAGAAATAAATCACAACATCTAACCAAATGATGTATTTACACAAGACTTCTGTTAAGTGACCCTGTGACAATGCAAATGTTATAAACATGGGAATAGGAGAACTCCATTCAGCCATTGAGCAATTTATAAAAGATCATGGCAGATCTTTTAATCCCATTGCCCTGCCTTTTCTCCATATAATTTTAATTTCCAATTGTCTATCCATCTCCCTTTCAAAATTTCCAATTAATTATGCCTCTATGACCTTCAGAGGTCAGGAACCCAAGAGGATATTGGGGAGGAGTAGAAAAGTCGTAATAATCCTTGCATTTGGTACAGTGCCTTTCACGTAATAAGGATGTCCCAAAGCGCTTCACAGGATATATTGCAAACTGATTGTTTTGTGAGTGAATGCAGCAGCCAATTTGTGCACATCTATGTCCCACAAACAGCCATGATGAGAATCACCAATTTTATTTGGGGGATGGTTGATCAGGACACCAGGAGAAACTCTCCTCTCTATTCAAATAGTGCTACGTGATCTTTAATGTCCAACAGAATAGGCAGATGGGGCCTTGGTTTAATATCTCACCTGAAGGACAGCAACTCAATCAATGCAACACACTCCCAGCACTGCACTAGAGTATCAACTTATACTATATCAGTTCCAAGTCATGACGTGGGGCTTGAAGTCACAACCTTCTGACTCAGAGATGAGAGTGCTATTAACAGAGCAGGCACATGAGTCTGACTCTGTTGTTGAAGCCTGATACTTCTATGGCCTTCAGGGAACGGGAATGATAGAGGACACCGAACATTAGACAAATCATCTCCCATCTACCCTTTCATTCTTTTTATTATTTTAAACAAGCCAATCAAATTACCATTCATCTCCTCAGATCTAAGAAATATAACCTGAGTCTACCTAGCCTCTCATCACAGCTAAATCCCTTCATCCCAGGGATTCATCTGGCAAATCATCACTAGTCAAGATCCTTTCACACGTTTTCAAATCCCTTCATCCCCTCGGATCTCTCTACCTATCCTATTCGCTTACGCCCCCATTCCCCCCACCCGCTGCTCCGCTCAGCTGGCTCCAGCCTTCAGTTTGTCCCTCGTCCCCTCCTCTCCACCATCTGTGGCCATGCATTCAGCCACTACGCCCCAAAATCCTGGAACTCTCTCCCTCAATCCCTCTGCCTTGCCCCTCAATCCCTACTTTCAAATCTCGCCTCAAGACCTTCCTTTTTGATCGTGCTTACAGTCACCTCCCCCCTCTCTCTCCCCCTGGCTCGGGGTCAGACTCCGCTACTGTCAAGCCCTCCAGGACACTACCTCATGTGAAGGACACTAAATAAATGCAAGTTGTTGTTGGCCACCCCATAAACCAAGTATATGTTTCCGAAGGCTGGGTGCTCAAAACTCAACACAATACTCCAGATGAGATACAATCATCACCGGGTTAAACTGCAGCAGCACTTTCTTGTTTCTATATTCTAGATCATATGTTGTGAATCCCAGCCACCATTATCCTTTTGATTTCCTTCTGCATTTGGTTGAAACTCATGTGTTTGAATCCTTAAATACCTTTGTTCATCTACCTCCCCAAGTCAACAACAACAACTTGCATTTATATAGCACCCTAAATGCTAGCCGAGCGGAGGCAGCGGGTGGTGGAATGAGGGTAAACAGTTTGGATAGGTAGGGAGTTGCGAGGGAATAAAGTGTTTTGAAAACAAGTGAGAGGATCTTGGAATCGATACGTTCAGTGATTTGGAGACAGTGGAGCCTGGCAAGGACTGGTGTGCAGTCCTTCTCTGTTTGCAAGTTCTTATCTAGCATTCGTATGATTAAACTGTACTACGTCACATTTGCTATTTTAATTTAACTTGCTATAGTTCTATCCACCCTCCTAATTTGTCTTTGTCCATGCCATGACCCGCTCTGCCTTCGCCCACCTCCGCCACATTTCCCGACTCCGCCACTGCTTCACTGCTCAGGCCGCCAAAACACTCATACATGCATTCGTCACATCAAGGCTCAACTACAGAAACTCCCTCCTTGTCGGCCTCCCCAACTCTTCCCTCCACAAGCTGCAGATCATCCAGAACTCTGCAGCTTGTGTCCTATCCCGCACCAGGCTCCGTTACACCATTACCCCCACCCTCGCCTGGCTCCACTGGCTCCCCATCCCTCAGAGAACAGAATTCAAAATCCTCGTCCTCACTTTCAAGACCCTTCTTGGATTTGCCCTCTCCTACCTCTCTGACCTGCTGAACCCCTATCAACCTGTCCTCTCCCTCTGCACAGCAGGCTCCGGTCTGCTCCACGTCTCCCGCCCGACCCACCCTACCATCGACGACTGGGCTTTCAGCCTTTTTGCCCCCACCCTCTGGAACTCCATTCCACATCCCTTCGACTCGCTTCCTCCCTTGCCTCCATCAAGGCATGACTCAAGATCCTCCTTTTGAACATGCCTTCAGCCGCCTTCCTGACTCCCTCAGTCCAATCTATCCCCCCACCTCAGGTCCTGATTCCCGAATGTTCTGCGCCTTGGGACATCCTCTTTACAAATATAATTTTGTTGTTGTTTGTTCCAATGACATTTCTGCTTTCTTTTGCAACATTACTGTCAATTGGATTTTACACAGAAATGTGATTTTGTTTGTTCAATATTTACCTTTAAATCGCTCCCCGGTAGTGTGGCTATCCCATCTTTCCAATCCATAGCACTGAAAACATCGAAGTCCTGGCTGCCGGTAGCAGAGGCGAAGTCACCCACAATGCTCTTCTCCATTGCTGAGGCTCACGGTTCTTATTTCAGCAAAATGTCTATTGACAGCACAAGAAAACACATCAGATGATCATATCAAGTGGCTATGAGGCTGGATAAATGAAATCATTCAAAGGGGAACTGAATATACTCCTGGCAGTAAAACGATGTGAGAAAAGAAATCGAAAATTAATTTAAAAAGAACAACCTTGTGTGACCTAATAATGCTGTATGAACAGCAAAGGCACTCACTCAATGCGTTAAATGTCTTTCTGTACTAAATACTTCTGTTTCTATGACAGTTGTGTAAGAATGGAGTTGAAAATTCCGAATAAAATATTATACTTTAATTTAAATCTTTAATATAATGTTCATTATAAAAGCATTATTTCAGATATTTACCCATTAAATGGTGAAAGAGTTAGTTTAAAGAACTGTCTTCAAAGTGTAGCTAAACATATATTCAGTGGCTGCTGTTTACAATGTTGTCACTATCTATTGTACTACAGTGGAATTTAAGGAATCCCCATTCTTCATAACCAAAAGCTGAACAAACAAAATCACTCGTATTACAATAACAATTTCCTGCATTTATATAGCACCCTTTGTGTAAGATAACACCTTGAAGCGTTTTACGGGGACAGTGTGGGTGCTAGGCATGAACTGATCCCCTTAGTGGGGGGAAAGGTAAGTGGGGTCTACTTGGAGCTGCACTGGCTTGGCAATAGAATGTCAGAATTAAGTCAACCCTCTGTGGCAGTCTCAGTGGTCCAATTCCTGAGCCAATCCAGTCCGCAGTCCTCCAGGGCACTGATGATGACAGACAGACAGAGAGACAGACAGAGAGACAAGCAGAGAGACAGGCAGAGAGCTTCACTCGTTGGCAGGAATGGAGGGCCAGACCAGCCACTGGGAGCAGGGATTCTTCTCACTCAGCTCCTTTTGACCCTGCAAGCCAACGCCCTAAAGGGTAGGATGGTCCTGCCTGGACAAGCAGTGGGAAAGCTTGCCAGACCTTGACCTCGATGACAAGCTATGCGGTTTTAGCAGGTTAAACCCAACGCACACTCTGGGGTCCTGAAGCCTTGGCACTTGCCAAATTGTGCTTAACAATTAGGTAAGAATCAGGTAAGCAGAATGCTTCGCTCTAGTAAGACAGTGTGCATTCTATTCCAGAATTGGGAAATTTCCATGTGTAAGTGGCATACATATATGGAACTCTCAGTCATGTTTGGATACGCTTAAGCAGGGTAATGGGCTTCAACATGTGTCAAGCACCCAGCTGACCAAAAATAAAACAGAAAAGAGTGGGGTAGGAGAAGATCATAGCGACAGCCACTAAACAGAATATCGAACAGTTTTCAGTCTTCAGCTCATCCACTCTGTTCTTTAACTTTTCTCCTCTTCAAGAATCTATTTGATTCAATCCCTTTTAAAAGAACAGATACACACTGTCTCAACTACAGTTTGTGGGCAGAGAACTGCACGTTTCAACTACCTTCTGTGTAAATACATTTTATCTAACCTCCTATTGAATTCTTTGGTGCATATCTTAAATTTATGTTCTCTACTTAATGCCATGTTAACCGTGGAAATAATCTATTACTATTTATCCTAACACAACCTTTCGTTATCTTGTAAACCTTTACAACAACAAGAAGATTGTATTTATAGAGCGCCTTTCACGTCGGGAGGACGTCCCAAGGCACTGGACAGTTGGGTTGGGACCCGAGCAGGGGGGAAATGATCAGGGTGAGGGGAGGGAAGGGAGAGATGAGGAGGGGGTAGAGAGTCGAGAGGGGAGGTGAAGGCACGGTTGCAGAGAACCAGGTCATCCCTTAACCTTCTTAGTTCTAGTAAAAGAAAAGCCCTAACATCTAACTTTTTCTTCAACACTAAATCCTCTCATCCCTGGTAACATCCCACAATTCACCTTTCTATTGATTTTATAGGTATCCAAAACTGTACAAAACATTCCAACTGTGTCTGAACCAAAAGATTGTTTAAGTGTACCATTATCTCCTTACCTTTCGAAAATCAAATGTTAATGTGCAACACTTATGGTACACAAATATACAGATTGTTACAAAGGAGAATTGTGTCATACTGACAGAGTTTTCATATAACTCAGTCATTGGGACTTCACCATCATAAAATGCTTTGTTGGACTGCTTCAAATTCTACAACATTTAAATAGTTTGGCATAAATGTCCAATTGACATTAAAATAAACATATCTTCATTCAGAGAAATAGGCAAAATCAGTTCCTCAGATATAATGTTAAAAGGGTACAATTTGAAAGCACTCAAGGGTTAAATTTAAAATTAAAAGTTAATAACAACTGCAGCATGGGAAATAAGAAATACACAACTTTTAAACCAGCTTTAGTGCTTATTCGATCAATTCACTTAGTAAAATCTTGGGCCAATGTGTAGCACGGGTTATTGCAACCAGAAGTTGCTCAGCATGTGCCTGAACTCAGCATCTACTTCATTACTCACCCACAGTCAAGCCAACGTAAATACTGTCCAATGCTTAAGCGTCCTACTTTACATTAAAGCAAACGTTTTTAAAAGAAACCTGTTTTAGCACCACAGCAAAAGACATATAAACAGTATACACTCTTGTAAAGTGTGCAACTTAGATAACAGACATAGATAATTGTAAGGGAAGAAATGAATTCAATAAAAAGTGCTTTGATTAAGGATGAGTCCTTTAATAGCAAACCCAATCCCTGTATACTCACTGCATGGAGCGTTGGTTATCAGAATTTGCTTTGCACTGTTTTCTGAGTTTGTTGACGATCCTAACCTTGAACGTGTATCTTCCACGTATGTAATACCCTGCTGTACTACCAAACTAACATTGAGAAGTTCTAAATCTACTACAACGCAAACATGCTCTTTTTTAAAAAAAGTTGGGACAATATTTAGAGACTTGAACATTAATCTCTGCTACTGCTTCAACTTCTCAGTGCAAAACAGTGTATGTTGAAATACAACAATTTAAACAGTGGCTGTTTTTGATGCAGTTCAGTCTACAAATATTGACGAATACACAAATACTGTAATCACTTCCTGTGCAAAAGAAACATAACTGCAACCAAAACTGGAAGTGATGTCACCAACCAGCTTGGGATTCTTCCCAGTTCCATGAGCATCTGTTAAATCTTTTGCCCAGTGCGAAGATCAAAACGTTTAATTACTTTTTAATGTTCTCATCTATTTTTCCCACCTTTCTCTAACCTCATTGTTTCTTGATACCAGATTCACTATAAGTTTCTCCCATCCCAGTGCCTCACCAGTGGTTTTGTTTTTTTCCTCAAACTCTTACTAATGGCCCCAAACTAAATGCTCTCATCCCTGAATTTGTTTGACACTGGAGCTAAAAAGCCCTCCTAGAGAAAACGAGGGTTCACAAAGTCAACATGACCTACATGGGATACCCTGCCAGAAATGCACTTTATGTGCCAAGGTGCTTTTTCTAGTCACAAGGCACCAGTAACTCTAATGCTTTCTAGAGGAGTACTTTTCCGTCGCCACTATTATTTGATACATTATTGGACTTTTTCATTAATACAGATTCATGCTGCCTGATTACCTATCTTGGTAAATTATTAGAAACTTTTAAAAACCTCTTGAGTTACTAGTTTCCTATTTCCTAGTATCTGCTCTATTGCTGACTTTGTACCAATAGTCTGTGAGTTTTAGCACACTGGTCACTGTGGTCACTGCGAGTTCCTAGATGACCATTGTCACTGGACTTCTGCCGCAGTAACAACTACACATTTCCCATTCATTGTAGATAATTGCCACTATCTAAATAATAGTAACAGTACCAGCAAGAAATATCAGGAGAAATCTCATCATTTATTCATGTGCAGCTCTGGTAGATACAGGACTATGTGGAGGTTCTGCATATAAGCAAAATGTATAATGTTATCTTGTAGACAGTATGACAACTTCACATGTTCCACACATGCAAACACCAGGATATTTAAATATGATAATAATATTAAAATAATAATCTTTTCATTTGATGTAGGACCTCATCACGTCTAGAGAGATCTCAAAATGCTTCCCATGATTTTACTAGGATGTGTAGTGACTGTGAATTTGTGGATAAATGCGGTAGCTAATTTGCAAACAGCGATGTTCCACCAACAGCCATAAAGAGAATGATCAACTTTATTTGGAGGATTCTTGGTGAGGACAGCAGGAGAAACTCCCTTCCCTTTTCAAATAATTCCAAGGGATCTTTAACATCTGCCTGAATTGGCCTTGGTTTTAGATCTCACCCAAAAGATGGCACCTCCAACAATGCTGTATTCCCCCAGCAGAGTATTGGAGTGTCAGCCCAAACTGTGAGTTCAAAATCTCAAAAGTTGTGGGTTTGGACTCAAGAGGCAAGATTGCTACCAACTAAGTCTGGTCGGCACCTGACATCTAAAGACTAGGACTGCACTATGAGCGATTTTCCAGTGTCAACATGCCACTTCTCTTAAAACAAAATTATCACGTGCTGCACTTGGTAAAGAAGCTAGATTCCCCCATGCTCGGGTCCTGACCCCCGACTGTCCAGCATCTTGGGATGTCCTCCCAACATGAAAGGCGCTCTATAAATGTAATTTTGTTGTAGATTAAAACACTGGGTGTGCTCCATGTTTGTTATTTTAATGAGCTGACTTCAACTTTGGGTTATTCTGAAAAGACTTGGAAGTACTTACTTTCTTGAAATTATAAAGAATTTAAAGTGATTTTACTTTTTTGAAGCAGTGTTTCCTAAGACCCTACATCTAGCTCCCAATCAGTTGTGTGCAAAATGCTTTGATATGTTTTTTTGGTATGAAAGGCACTATATAAATGTAAATTGTTATTTTTGTCAATTTCTTGCTTCTGAATACGCTGAATCTTGCTGGGATAAAGATTCATGGGTATCATCAGGTACAATGTACAAATAGCCATTTATTAGTCAATGAATGCTCCTAGGCTATTTGATGGTGGGGGTCATCACAGCCAAGCCAAATCCTGACCTCACCTATCATTACTGCATAAGTTCC